TATTTTTCAGTTTATAAATATTCTACAAAAATAAAACATACTCGAATAATATTGATCTAATATATAGACAGTTGTTTTGAATTTATACCAAAACCACAGTTTGAGATTAAAGTAACCCATATATTAGATTTTATTATAACTCTGTAAAACTAATTTCAGTGTAGTTTTAAGAGTGCATAATATTTATTGTATAGTGATTTGTTTATATTTGGGTGAAAAAAAAATTATATCAATCACAAAAGAAATGATTTGATACCCAATTGTAAATGTATTGAAAAGTTTATAGTTTAGGATTATTTATATAACTCATTATAATTATTAAAATAATGATTTAATTTGTATTATTTCATTAAACCTCTTAAAACGTATTTTGAAGTATGGATATAATATATAATATTATTATTATTATTACTTGGTACTACATGAATTATAATATTAAATTTTATGAAAAAAAAATCCTTATATATTATTGAGACGTGTCTACAGGCTACAGCAATATACTATTATTATTATTTATTGTTCTACTTTGTTTTTGTACTTTTCATGTGTTACATTACTTGTAATATAAAATAATATGATTGTAATAATTCTTAAACTGATTTTGCAATAGTGGAAATCACTAAAGACGAATATGGTAATAATATTCAGTTTGTGAAATACCAAATATCATAATATCTGGTTCTACGAATATCAACTTGATAAATAACTGGTGATTACAACGAATCAGTATATATCTAGTTGATTCTAAATCACCAATAGCGCACACATATTATGTCAGTGATAATGAGATACATATCTTATCGCTGTATTACCTTTGAACAGTGGTAATCCACTGTAAGCTTATAACTCATAAATTGTAATGGACGTATACATAAAAGTATATAAGCAGTCTCAAATATTTTATATTTAAATAAAGGTTTAATACAAATTACTATGGACAATAAATAGATTAAAGATACATATTGGTCGCAGTTCTAGTTAGTTACAAGCAGTGGCGTATCCAGGATTTTTTTTTTAGGGGGAGGGGCGCACACTGTCTAAAATTTTATCATACGAGTATATACTACCTACTACCAAAAACAAAAAAATAAAATAAACCAAATATTTAATGTTTATAATGCAAATAATTTGTTTATATTTTCAGTCAGCCATTAAGTTTATATATATATTTATATTATTGTAATTAATAAGTAATCAACCATGTTTAAATAGATAATATTATGATAATCATATTTAATGTAAGATTTTAATTAGAACAAATATTTAAATGTATTATATTATGCATGTTGTCGAAATTTTAATGATATTTTTGTTACACATTTATTTTTCAGATACTAAAGTTATTGTTGTAGTGTGTATACTGTATACGTTTCATCTCTGAATATGATAGATGATTATTTCATAATATGTAGTAAAAATTGTAGACGTAAATTTTCAAAATAAATTTGAACCTTATTCATCTAACCTACAAACTTTATACAGATTTAAATTTCATATATACCATATGTAGTTATATAATTTGTGTTCAAAAGGATAATATCTTATTTCCTAACTTATAGTTCATACTATATTGGGACTTGGGTCAAAGTTTTACGTTGAATGCAATTGGAATGCGTATAATATTAAATATGTGATCATATGTATAATTTAAACACGAGAAAGCCGAAGTACCTTCACTGGACGGTTTTTTCCCTCAAGATATTCAAGCCATTAAACTTAATTTAAAAAAAAAAAAACATACATTTTTTTTTAGTATAGATTGTATAATGTCCTAGAAAAAAAAAAACAAGCAAGAAGATAGATAATTCAGTGAAAAAACTCCAAATTTTAAATGTCTATTGTATTTGTACGACATTTTTACTATAATAAATAATAATAACTTTTTGAAAATCATGCTATTTACAATACAATATTATTTTAAATTTAATTTTGAATTTGAGTAGTACATCAAATCAGATTTTTTTAGATTCATTAATACACTGTGATAAAGTTAATAGTTTTATATTTATCTGGTTTTAAATTATTTCAGTAACAAGTAAGATAAAAAAATAATTAAATAAAAACTTTAGATACTATATACAGATACATTAGTCTTTATTTATTTATTTTTTTTCTATATACATATTCACAGACATTTAAAACATAAAAGTTAATGACACATTTAAATTCAATAATAATAAGAATAATTATTAACTATATCATTTTAAGATTCTATGGTTTTGATGTCATTTAAATTGAATAAATAAAAACTTCATTATATTTTAAATAAAATTGTTAGCATTTCTTGTGTATATTATAATATTGGTTTTTTTTACAATTTAACATAAATTTGATTTAATAATAGATATTCATAAAATATTAATAAATGGACATTATAGTATTATGTATGTATATATCGTCTGAAAAGTATTTATTTTATGAAAAAATGACTTGTCTTTTAAACTAAGCTTCGTGACATATTTATTATTCATAATTACTTATCTTATGATTTGAAATTAACGTAATATCATTGTATTATAATGTTGGAATTTTATAGTTTAATATAATTTTCTGTTTCTTGTTTTTGTATTCGATCATTTTAAAACACAGTTTCTGGTAATATAGACAACAGCATAAAACTAAATAGCACTTTACTTATTTTAATAAATTAAGGCAAATCAAATGAGATATGGCTATTACTTTTTTACAGTGATAAAATATTCTTCCCATCTTGAAATTTAATTTTAGCTTTTAAGCGTTTACAGGTCATTTAGTCCTTTTAAGCATCAAACTCTACTATATTGCTTTAAAATCTTTATTTATTTTAGATATTTTATTTATATGATTTAAAATCTCTCTGTATTTCATAGAGCCAAAGATGTTGTGGTCTTTCTCACAGAAATATCTTATTAGGTTTAAAAATTATTAATTATCTCACGACTCATTAGAATAGCCTTTTAAACTTGTTATATTCTATCAACCAAAAATGTTAGTATTTTTTAAACAAGATGGTTTTGAATATTGGGAAATATTGAGTGCATATTAGTAAATAAAATATTTATCTCACTGTTTATTAGTATGATATATTACTTAATTGCTCTGTTTTGGTGTTCAATATAGGTAATATTATGTTTCAAATATGTTTAACTTTTTAGAAACACTTTTATTCGTAGGTAGCGATTACACAGCTGAAAATATAAGATTTTTTTGAATTTATCTTAAATGTTATTAGGTAATAAAATAATTTAAAGTTTTTTATTTGTTCAAGTGTATATTGATTTTTTTTAATATTTTGATATAATATCAAACTATACTAAAAATATATTTATGTGAAACATACAATTCGTTATTATAATACATTTCAATGCACTTAAATAATAAAATGAAATAAAACTTTGTTTTTATTAAATTTATTACATCAGAATATAAATTGAATTTGAAATTATATTTTAGGAAATATACAATTCTAATATACAGACATTTTAAATTATTATAGAATAATCTATAAACGAATACATTTATTAAGTGCATATTTTTCAAATATATTAAAATAACGCCTATTTCGTAGCATATTTTAACGTTTTAAAAAACATTTTTCTATATATTAATAGTTTTATAGTTAGGTTAAAATTACCAAGTTAAATTACCTCTTGTTGGGCTTGCTCATCGGTATCGCCATCATCTAAATCGTATTTGTTCTCAGATCATTCGGAACATCCATTAATAACCATTCTTTAATGTCTTGATATTTTTTGCATGACCTCATTTAAAAAAATATTTTTACGATAAAAATTGATGATGATATTATATAAATAATATACAAAACGTGCGCAAGTAAGACCATGTTATATTTATTACAGACATACGACTGGATGTTTTACGACTGTAGAATACTGACGGGGATATAATATAAGTCCCACGACAAAAATGTTGATTATTTTTGTAAATATCGATAATATTGACAAAAACAAAATTCGTTAACACTTTTTAGAAGTAGTATAATAATTTGAAATAACATATTTTATTAGTTATTTTTGTCAACAGTCATAATAATAATGAAAACAATAATATCATGATTTGATACTTAAGGTTTAGAGAAGATAAGCTAGTTTTTTTTGAGCTAATAATAATATTCTATACCAATGTATATATATATATAGAATATGTATGTATTTTTTTCAATTTTTAAACGGACTCAAATAAACCAATTTATAGAATAACATATTTTGTATTAATATTCAAAGTATCTGTATCTTTCCAGTAACAAAAGGGTTAAATATAAAATCTTTTAGAAAATATTATATTTAATGATAATACATAACATAATAATGTGTATAGTTTTATTTAATAATAATTACTATTAGTACATTATTTCAAAAACTTTAAAAAAAAAAAAATTAATAAGTATAAGAATAAGATAATAAATACTGCCAAATATTCACACAGTGGTTCATTAATTTACTATAAATTAATTTTTAATATATTTTATTTGAAAAATAGAAATCCATTAACCAATACCAACAGAACGATATCATGTATAGCCGAAAGTAGCATGTTATCACGACAAAGGACAAACATAAATAATATTATGTTACCGTATCTGTTTTTTTATTTAATGTTTAATGTACATACTATTAAGTTATAACTTAACATTACGTATTATTTATTTATATATTTTACTATTTTATAGCATCAAAACATTTTATTTGTACCTCATCGAATTTACTTGTTATAAATTCCATTAAATCTATAAAAAAAAAAAAATAAAGAATAAAATACAAAAAAAAAAAAAAATATAAAAACATGATTACGATAGAATCAGTATGTTCTATTATCATAATACCTACAAATAAATTGTATACATAATGTAACGAATTTTTTTTTTTAAATGTCACAACCACAGTGGTGTGTGTGTGTGTGTAATAAGTATAGACGTGTTATCATAATGTAGTCTTCATACTGTTTACTGACATAATAGTGTATTATAATACAATTAGATATGTTTTTTTTTATGTTCTCAGGTCGATCTATCCACACGTATTTTAAAATCAGAAGACCGAAGAACGTTCGGCTCTCGTTCGACGGCATCGTGAACAGGGCAAACTCGCCGTTCGTGTTGACGCTATGCTTGCCCGAGCCGCTAAACCATAATTCTGCCGAGGTAAATGCACCGCAATCATACAAACACATTTCCTATCCACACGCCGTAGGTACTTCGTTTTTTCTTTCACGACGTTCCGTTTTTCTAAAACCATGTCTTATCATTGGTCCTGCTATTGAAAATTAAACTTAAATATACCCTTATAGGTGCGGCCATCGCATTGTCGGGGGGTCAGGTATTTTATGACAAATAATCGATGCGCCGTGCACGTGACACGTACGCAATATGATAACGCGTTTTACAGCCGTTCGCGCTGTCAGTGTTTCCGCGCCAGACCGTCTCTACGAATCAAATACCTGTCAACACCGCTTCAGACGGGATCATCGAATTAAGCTCTGATAAGTCATTACGGTGGTCTTCTCCAGGTCTAGATTTGGCGGGGGTGCGTTGACGAAACGTCACCCAATCAAATAATATTATGGTTTGCCCCGAAAAAAACGATTTAGCGGCTTAACTGTAGCAGATGTAGCACTGCGCAAATGATGTACGCTACAACACGGTTGTTTTCAACTTATTGCGTTCATCTGTCGTTTTCGTTGTTATTATTATTTTTTGTTTAGTCGTCGTTGTAGTTAGAGGACAATATTATGTTTGCATTTATATATACATATATATATATATATATATTGAAACTTCCATAAAACAAACTTTCATTTAACAACATTTTCTGTTTAACGAATTATTTTTTAGAATCATGACCTTTATTATTAATTACGCGTAAATTTATCCCTGTAGAATTAATCTGATGTTTCTATACTATAAATAAACTATTCAATAACAAACCTGTTTTTGTAAAAATTATCGTTATTAAATATTAATTATTGTTCTAAGACACCTAGATTAGATTTTATTGTTTCTGATAAAGATAAGACATTGATAGGCAAGCCGGTTAATTGGACTGTAGTACAGTAAATGTTTCAGATGATTTTTTTTTTTTTTAACTCGATGAAATTCAAAAATTTTACGAAAACGGTGTACAATTTATAAAATTAATAAACAAACGAAACTCACTGATTATTTATTTTGAATTAAAATTAAAAAATACATAATATATAATGAAATTAAAAAAAAATAATATATATTTAAGTATAATATGATATTTCATGTTTATTTTTAATATTATGTACAATAAACAGAATATGAAATTAAAATAATTAATTTGTAAAATACTTACCTTCTTATATACTATCTTCGTTTATACACTCGGATGGTGGAATGAAACCACACAAAATCTTAACTAATTTAATTAGCGGCGCCTTTGTTAATTCTAGATTTTAAACACTAAACACCATTTTTTTTAGTCGAAACATTTTCGATTTAACGTCATTATGAAATAGGTATTTTCTTATAAAATGTATGATACATTACTTATTATTTTTTTTACGACAATATACATTTATAATTAAACATTTCTATGTGAAATATTACAACATACACAAAATCCGAATTGAAAACGAGCAGTTAATTATTTATAGTTACAATACAAATATTTATAGCTTATAATAATGAAGTACCTCCGAAATGTCAAGCCACAACTCCGTTCATCTAAATTTTAAATTCTTTTATATAATTGGTTTCTCATTCGAAATTAAATTTGTATGTATCAAAGTACTTAAATGAATATTTTGCTTTATAATACGAAATTAAAAAAAAAAAAAATTATGTTATGTTAATAAATGTAAAAAATAAAAAAAATAGTTTTGAAACTACATCAAATTATATATAAAAATATTATTTTAAAAACTTTTCGCATATAGTTTTTATACACGCATGTATTACCATTGGGCTTATATAATGAACATTATAGATTTTATTATGTATGATATTGTTTTATAGGATGCCTGTTTAATACTGTATAAAACAGTAAAACGAAGATAATGTGCCTAAATGTGTGTAGGTTTTAGTTTCTTATATTTATATAAGATAATTTTTCTTTAAGTTGTCTTGAATATATAATTAATCTGATTTATATTAAATTTACATACAGTTTATAAACGAGATAATCTGTAGATTATTTTAAAACTTTTTCAAGATAATATCAAATTAATAGGCATCAGGCGTCTGAGGCGTCTGATAGGGTTGTTATCGTTTACTGAAACTATGTTTTAATTAACGATAAACCTACAAATCGGAATAAATAAGGACATGGTTTACAAAATCAATAAGTTGCTTGTTAATCTGATTTGTCACTTGTTACGATTTCGATAATAAATATTTATTTTCATAATATTATATATAACATTGGGAATTTATTCAATGTAAAATGGCTTGACAACGGAGTTAGTGTTATTACTCCGTTGTGCATTATAAACCTTCAGTAAGTATAATATTATATATACAATATTACATCGTATATTGTGTATTATCCCATTTTATTAGAATAATATTATTTATATAAAACTTTCGCAATATATCAGTACGTAAATTTAATATCCTCATTCTTCATATACGTAGAATGTGTAATATATGTATATATACACATTATATTAATACATTTAATATTGTTCAACAATTGTTAGTAGTACCTACTACATACTTACATAATACATAATTTTACACTTTTTTAATAATTTTGTAATATTTTTTCATGAAAACACAGTAAAAAAGTTTATTAATAAGTGTAGAACACTTTATTCTATTCCATTAAGGTTTTTAATAGTAAAATGTTCATTTTTTTTTTTGCTTTGCAAAAAATTGATTGGAAACAATTATTATTTGTAATAATTAAAAACGGTGATTTAGCTTTAATTACACTTAATGACTTTAATAATAACTATGTTTTGAAGTGCTTATATAAGTATGGTCGAGTAATATCTAAACATGAATATAGGTCTCTAAGCAATAAATCAAACAAACGACGGCAATCCGTTGAACTACACAAGATTCGAACATCTGACAATATCGAAAACTCGTCTAATTAGTGTTCTAAACCGTTCGACCATTAAAATACGTAGATATACGTTCGGTTATGCACGATGGCTTGGTTATTGAACATTCACTAAAAACCCTTATTTTCACACACATGTGTACGCAAACATAATAATGTGTATTATACACGCGTAGAAAATGTGTACATCTATAATACATAATTCAGTATATTATATTCGTCGTGAAATAAAGACGTTCGATTGAATGCCCTCTGGCGCGTTTCTTCGTTCCGTTCATAATATATAGGTATAGGTAGGTGTTAGTAGTTTCGATAAGGACGACAAAAACGAGTGATGGTATTATACACGCGCAAATCGACTACTCTCGAGAACATACATGTACTCCATATTAATAATATGTGTACACGTTATGAACACAAAACGTATAACATGTGTATAAAATATATAGTGTAAACTCAATAATATATGTAGGGTTTTACTTGCGGTAAAAACGTCATCGTGGTATGTAAAACGGGGCCCTTCCCCGCCACGTACAATACGATATACATATATTATAGTTGAACGGGTCAATTATTCAAATTCGGAAATTTCGAAAATGCATTTACACGGAACACCGCCGTGATGGCAATTTCAATCATTCCACGGCGGAACCGAACTCAAAATTTATTTATTTTTTGTGTCCCGTGCTTATTGTTGTTCCATTTGCGTATTATTACCGCTTGGCGATTGATGCCCCCGCCGGTTTGCGCGTTGTAGTTATAAGATACGCGTAGATATGTCGAAATGTCGGAATTTCGTGGCAATAGCGAAACGATGAATCGTTTAAATAAAGTCCTCCGATTACCGTACACGCCGATGAGTCGATTGATTTGACCATAATAATAATATGACAGAGGACGTTGTTAGCGACGAAAGCACGAGAAGCCAGAATTCTGGCTTAAGCCTTACACTAGGATACCGTGATTGGATCCATGTTAATAAATAACAGTCAATTGATAGCGTGACAACAGATAGTAAACAATAGATCACGCGCAAAAATTGATAGTCATGAAATTTTTTTAATTCCAATTTTTCACAAATTTATCAATAGTTTAATTAATAATCATAGATTTTCACAAATAAACTGTGTCAATAATTATAATAATAATAGGTTTTCAGAAATAAATTTCAACAAAGATGAAAATAATTAAAATAATAGTATCTAATAAACAAATTAAAAAACTTGTAGCTGCAAATAATATGCAATCCCTAGTAAATAACCTTCTTTACTTTTATTATTATAATCACTACATAAAATATTTAGTTTTTTTATTCAGTCATCATACTTTTTTTATGATGATTAATTTCTTGTGACTAATTGTTGAACTTTCAACCGATTATTTTAATTATTGACAAATTTGTGAACAATTGGAATTAAATTTTTTTTATGAAACTATCAATAATTGTCGTATGTTATCAATTGCCGCGTGATCTATTGTCCACTATTTAATGTCGCACTATCAATTAACCACTATCTATTGACGGTATATCACCGTTATAATGTAAACAGAATCGTATGTGTGATGACATGACGCATAATATTCACTGCAATGGATGCCGATCATATTGGCTCAAAGGCAGAAAAACAGAGGAGAAACAAAAAAATAACAACACAATACCCTATCGCGGTTTAGTACACTTGTGTAATTTTTCGTACACTCAGACGGCGGTGATGGTTTTCGAAATAAAATATTATGTAGGTGCAACGTCTGTATACACACTATTCCTCCCGAGCTACGCATTGTTTGCAATATTGACCAAATAAAAGTACACGATTCTCCCCCTAAAAACGAAATCTTATACATAAACGTATATATGGTAAAAATGTTTCACTCGTATGTTATATTATATTGTTACTCGTACCATATCGATGTGTAGAGAAATATTATGTATTCACGAACGCACATCCAAATCGTTAACCAACGCGATATATGCGCCATGTTATGTTTATAGTACTTATCACTATATGGACTAAATCACTGTAGATTTACAAAATAGATTTCCAACAATCTCTTGCACACAACTATAATAATATAGTATTTCTAAATGGATGTAACAACAAATGAGCTATATTTTTTATTTTAAGTTTATTATGAAAAATCTGCATTTTAAATTAAAAAATAAAAAGGAAAAGAAAAACACGTAATGTGTTCCTTAATTTTCATTAACAACTTTTTTTCTGTATTTACAAAGGGTTTGGAATTCAAAGGACAAATGGTCTTGTGCAACGAGTCTGGATCGTTACTATACGTCGGTTCACCATTGCTAGATGGATTGGACAGTCTAACCAGTAGAAGTCTATTCATTTCGGACATACCATTGCACGACGCTACCAGAGACGTGATATTAATTGGCGAGCAAGCTAGGGCTCAGGTATGAAACTTACTTAATATTTGTGTAAACTTAGAATAATTTCCGTTTTAAAAGGAAGTAACTGATACACAACAATAACAGTTTTATCAATTAATGGTGTTCAGATGTTCAACAGAGAAATGAAAGACATTATAATAATAACATCGGAGTAGTAGTAAATGCGTATAATTTATGAAATTCACTTGTTCGACTTTACATAATATTATCTATACAATACATCAATATATAAAAATTAATATTAATGTATACGTGACTTATAGACTTGGGAACTATTGAACCGATTAGCGCTTAATTTCGCACACTTATTTTTTTATATAATTTGAGGTGAGTTCTCGTAACTTAATTTTCTAACCCTTATAGATTTTCAAATAATTGCTTATACATTAATTTTGTTTTAGCATAGAAAAATCAAATATATATATTATTTTTTTTAATGTATAAATAAGTTGACATTGGTTACAGAAATAAGAGTGGAATTTATATAAATTAATGTTTATAGCTATAATTTCTTTATTCAAAATCACTTGACCGAAACAATATAAAGATGATTTCAAAATTTTCTTAAATATATCAGGAAACTTTAGTGAATAGTTGAATAGTTTCAACGGCGTTCAAAAATATACCTAGTAAATAAACCATTATCAATTGTCCGCCACAAGTGAATTTCTCATCTCGGTCAAATTAGTCCACAAAGCCAAGTACCCCAGTGTCTGATTGCCCATAGAATAGGTAAACTAAAACCAGCAGTTAGGTTAAGTACTATATTACGGTGCTATATTATATAGCACCGTATTTTTTATTTTTTTTTTTCCACGGGTGGAATCGGCTTACACAGCTAATAATATAATACAACATATAATATATATATCGAGTCATTATAATATCGCGTGTATCCTAATGATGATATTTCCGGTGAATCGACTTCAGGGTAAAAACAGTTAAAACACTCTGGAAAAAAAAAACATCAATGACGACTACCTTGGTGCAAAAAAACAGTCGTAACGGGTGGCGTAATGTTACGATTTATAAAAAAATTATGTCGACGAGTCACTCTATCTGATCCAAAACAACAACAACAACAACAAAAATAATATAAATAAACTTAATAATAATAAATGTAACGATGACGATGATGGTAATGATGACGATACGACGTCTTGTCGGTGTTTTTTTTGTACCCTCTCATCCGGTTACTATTCCCGTCGGCATCTGATGTACTCGAACATTACAAATAAGCTCCAGCTATAATACAACTTTTTCGTGTATTTATTCCAAGAATGCAATTGTGTTAGAGTATATTATTTTCATTATTTATTTTAAATGTACGCCCCTGTTGCCGTATTGAGTTAATAATTTTATAATAAAATGCATTATAAGCAAAATAAAATGTCTGGTTTCTGTGGTCTTTGCGCTACTATGAAACTAATTACCTTTGTACATTCGAACCGTACTGTTGCACATAACGATTGTTTTGTGATGACATGGTTTAATATTACAGTTGTATATATTTGTCTGATGATTAAGAGCTAAGTGCATTTTGAAAAATGCGACGATTTGCTACTAATGTGGTGATTATGAAATTATCGTGCTTAATCAATGCCTAAGTCCCTAAAAATGCAGTTTGACGAGTGCGAGTATTATTGTTTTTTATATAGTTTACAATACTCAAACAATTTGTTATTATTTTGTTAATATTCTATATAAAAATTGTAGTCTAATTTTATTTGTTGTAAATAATTATTAATTTTGTTTAATTTTGAACCAACTCGTCTCATTTTCTCATCAATTTGTTATTATTTTATTGAAAATAATCGATAAAAATGTAAAAAAAATGCTCATAATTTTCAAAGTTTTTCATTATCTTATTGTAAATTTTAAATAGGAAAAATAATGTCTGCCCTCAAAAATTCAAAGCATATGATAAAACACAAAAGAGTTATAAACACATAAACATTCTGAAAATAAAATTTTAGTGTATTATTTTAATTTTTAATTAATATTATTGTTTTATTTTTATTGCGATTAACAATTTGAAAAGAAAAAAATGCTTCTGATAATCTTTAGTTCTACTGGTAAAAAATTTAAGCGATTGCAATTCAACAAATTACACCATTCACCTCATCTATAGACGTAACATTATTTGCACAATACGGTTTTTTATGTATACCACTTGGCACTTTTCTAAATTACTATATCAATTAAATGAGTTAAGCCCATTAAATTTTTAGTTTTTATGTAACAATGTGACTAAAAATCTACGTTAAAATATTAGTATTGTATTTATTAAAGTATCTAAAATATGATGTCATGTGATATAGATAAAATTCAAAGTAAGACTTTCTCAAACAGATCGTATAAAAAAGGGATAAATGATTGGAATATGGTAATTTATTTTGAACAAAAAATAATATTGTACACTTCATATATGCTGTAGAGTACAATGATTGGTATCGTTTTCATATTTATTAAAAGACAGTTGAGTTTATTGGGATAACGTTGTTATTTTATATCGTCGACCGTTGTCGTTATATTCTGTTATAGTGCCTGTCATAAATAGATTTTCGAAATCGGTTTGAGAACATTTTATGGTGGTGTGAACAACCACAATAACAAAAGCAAGACGTTATATAGCATAATATATTTTCGACTAATTTGGGATATCGTTTGTAACCATTAAACAAATGATGGCCTATGCAAAATAAATAGAAGCAATAGTAAGGAGAAGCTGTTTATTGTCAGAGCAATAATATCACAATGGACCGTCAATTTAAACAGCTTATTTTTCAGTAAATCGTATGGAAAATCTGCGTCAGAAACCAATGACTAGGCGCGCACACAATCTGACGACCTCCTGCTCATCCGTTTGTTGTTTATTTCGTGATTTATTTTTGCATTTCGTCTACAATGATTTACTTGTCTATCCGCATTTGATTCGCTGCACCGCCAGCTATATACTATGCATCCATTATTACAATAATAATCTTATTGCGGTCGTACGTCCCATTAAATCGCGCGCCGCTGACAGACAAATTGAAAATCGTCTCCATGTAAACGTTATCGTAAAGCGGTTCCGGAAAATTGGTATGAGCGCTAAGTCGTCTTATATGCGCGCCGTTTGCAGTTAAAGGATTTACTGACCTACATAAAATAGGCTATAGAGATAAAGGGTTAAGACTCTTTAAAGATCCTTTTAGACCTTTTCAACGGACGACTTCAGTTACGACGGGATTTTGTGTTGATGATGGTGGCGGTGGTAGGGCCGTTGTGGTCGTCGTTATAGCGGAAGTGACTCGGACTGAGGCACTCGGATACAGTCGACAACTCTATTATTTACGGTGTCTGGAGTTAAAATTACTCGACGGATAAACAAAACTTATCTTTAAAACAATAAACGTATTATAAATTATTGTCGCTTGCAAATAATAATATGCCTATGACGTAATTGTTCGTTCGTCTAGGTTAATAGTGTTAAAATTAATGCTGTGGGTGTGTGTGTGTGTGTGTGTGTATGTGTTTTTTATTCAATTCGATTGTATCAAATTATTTTCACACATAATCATTTATACAATCATACAAATATTGGTTGTTAACTTTGATATTTTAAGCATACTCAAATGTATTTCGAAGAATTAATCAATTAAATAAATTCAACAGTTGGTGTACGTATAGTATGCAATCATGTAATTATAACTCCCGGTTGTCTTAAATTTAATGACTAAACATTATAATATTATAATTTACCATAATTATAATCACGATGATTGGAATAAAAAATGGTAACCATAACAACGCCACCGCAAAATATTAATTCTTAAAGGAGGGAGGGAGACTGGCTATCTCGGCGTATAATTATTGTTCGATCCCATATTTTTATCTTAAATCTTAGGTATACTTAAATCTTAAATAAAATATAAGTTTCTTTCCATAATAACGATCCAAATCTTATCGTAAATTAAAATCCATAACGTTAAATTTTATCCATACGATACTATGCGTGTGTGTATCCTAACGATAACCCAGTGCCAAATAACACTATATAATATAATATATTATATTGTAAATTTAGGTATATTTATGGTATTTAACGAATATGATTTTATCAGACTGTAATATAGACATCCTTAAGACGACCTACAATATCGCACAATATAGATAGTGTATGTGTATATAATACCTAGATTATAATATATATATTATTCTATATATCGGGTTTGAAAAAACTCGAAAAATCAAATTTCAGCAAATAAAATACAACTACAGGACATAATATAATCGTTATTGACATGCATCGTTTTGTCTAAAAAATACGTACTTTTTTTGTAATCGGTTATTTTTTCTAAAAAAAATATATCTCTAAAAATAATGTAAAGAAGGTCAAGAAGGTTACTTGGTTCAGAAAAATATTTTTCGTATCAAGTAATATTATTACTATATAGTAATAAAATTACTATAGTAATAAATTCTTCACATTAGTTATTAATTATAATAACTTATTATTAAATCCATAACCAAATATTAAAATAAAATATATTTATAAATCATACTAACATGAATACTTCATTAAAAAAAATATTATCTATGAATTTGTATAAATTAAGAAAATTCTCCTATTAAAAACAATTATTTTCGTCTAAAAAAGTATTAGTTGAATAACAAATATTATTTAATTAATCCGTTATAAATTAAAATAACGTCTAAAACGGTTGAAAAGGTTATATAATAAAAAATATATTTTTTGGTCAAAGTAAAAATTATATGTTTAAATGCATGAAAATAAATTTATATTTTTTTTTTTTTTTTTACAAAACAATTAACATTCGGTTTACCATATTTATTAATAAAAATATTACATTTTATACGAAAATTAAATTAGGTTTTAGAAAGATTTTTATGTAGTAATTAAAAACTTTCCTAACCTAATAAAATGATAGTAAATATATATTATTGTCATTTATATGCCAATGATAATTTGAAAAATATTTTAAAATTATTTGTTTATA